CATTAGGGTGATTTGAGATTAACTGAATATACAACAAGCAATGGATTATAGATTCATTTTTCAGTCTTATACCAGTTTTGATTTTTGTTTCTTATGACAACCAGTGCAGTTCCAACATAATGTCCACAAAATATGTGCTCAGGAATGATTCTATATAGAATTAATCAATCATTTGATCATAAAACCATTCAGTAAACAGGATCTCAACCAGTGTATGTGTACACCAGTGGGTAATTCACAGGTTCAGGGTTTATTCCTGCTTAATGTTAATTCAAAATAACACTTTTACCAAATGAATACAGTATAAAATCGGTAAGTAAGTTAATAGTTTTAAAAAATGCTGGGAAAACAACCAGCATAACTGGGTACTGGTAGAAAAATAATTCCCTGGTGTACTTGATACGTTGACCCTCATGAGGTGCTTGTCAAACACAGGTTTTTTTTTATATAGGGGTACATTAATAAATCAGAAACACACTAATGTAACTACAGTCCATATATAAGAAAACGAGAGCTGTTCTGCCTCAAGTGAATCTAAAATCCATGGCTTAAAGAGTTTTTCTTTAGCTATTAGTCCACTGACACAGAAACTGGTTAACAACCTGTGAAGTGCCATGATCACAGCAAACTGAGGTTACAGACCATCCAATACTGTTTCACTGGGAATATTTTAAAGGTAGCAGATGATATTGTTGAGTAGGTAAAATACTAACACAATATTTCACGTTATAAGCTTTAGACTATTAGAGCTTGCACTATAAAGGAAAAATACTTTAAAAATTAAAAAATACTAGGGATGCACCAATACTAGTGTCGGTACGGATACCGAGTATTTGGGCGAGTACTTGTACCCGCCCAAATAGTCCCGACGCTTATACCGATACCGCAACTTCTAGTGTCAGGAAGCGGGGTAGGTGAGTAATTACATGCTGCCCGGCTTCCCGGTTGGCCGGGAAGCCGCCTTCATCGAAAGACAATGTTTGTGTGAGAATTTGTGGACTGGCTCCTTTAACAAAAGTGCTGACAGGGCCACTCACAGCTCAAATCGGCTAACATTTTAAATAGTATATGGCCAGCTTAATGCTCCAAATTGGAGTTCTGCTTCAAATACTTGTTGCTGGAGATGGCTGCATAGGTCACACAATTTAATACACAGTGACTAAGTAACTAGAATTGAGTTTGCCATGGTGAAAATTCAACAGAAAGCCGAATTTGTATTGGAAAACAACCTACATGCTATTTTCTTCAAATCAAATCTCTTCAAATCTATTAAGGTTTTGGATTCATTTTATATGAATCACCTTTTTGTATGCTTACACATTTATAAACCTAAGTTTTACTTTTTTGCATCATATTATACACTGTTTAGGTTGCAATCACTTAATATCAGGTGCTTACATAAAGTTTAGGTTAAAGAGCAATTATAAAGCTGCCTGCTTCACTTATGATTGCCTAAAAATCTAAACGGCTTTGTATGGAGTTCACAGAAGGGAAGGTGATGGGCCCCTTCTCTGACACATTGTGAATTAACCTCAAAATTCACAGGATTTTCACTGCATAATGGAAAATCACTTAAGAAAACTTGAAGTTGGCAAACTCTATTATGCCTTGGGTCAGCTGCAAACAACGCAATATTAATATTTTATTATTATTAATATCTTATTCAATTGTCTAGAAAATTATATTAAAAAAACTTAATTTTCTTAAACAATGAAGTTGTAAATTAAGTTTAAAACTCCATACACTCTAAAGGAACATCTATGCCCATAGTTCTATTAAAGCTGGTAACCTAGCAGTAAAATATAATTGTTTGCATATAATTGTGAACAAAGCTCAAAATTGTCATGAGTAAATGAAAATCTTAGGAAGCCCTATAGATGGCTTATAAAGGCCATGCAAATCATTGACTTTTTTTTTTTTTTTAACACTTAAACGCCAATGACCTTTCTAAGGGGTTCATCTTTATTTACAAATTGTTAACAATCTTCCCATTACGTCATCTTACTCAGGAGCATGCAATTCAAGCTTAATCAAATTAGCACTAACTTCCTCTCAGCCCATCTGTAATCGGATTCCATTTGCAAATGTTTCTTGCATGTTTCCTGAAGAATGTAACTTTCACAGTCAGCGTTGTCCTTTTTAACTTGCACTAAGCCTCCGCTTTGTTCTACTCTTTCAACGCCTCTAGTGTCAATCTCGCTCGCAAATGCTTTGCCGAGGTGCACAATACCCAAAGGGTTAAAGCCATTAAGATGGCAATGTCCACACACAACAGGTGTACAAACAGTTCTTTGTCTCCACAGAGTGGCCTTCTCAGCATGGTTTGATAGGATGGAGTTTTAATTGTACGGCTCATTAGCATACAGCTGACAGTCTGCTATTTGAGTTCAGGGCTGTTGCTCAATTCAAACTTGTCTACATTTCAATAATTACATAAAAACGTCAATTCTCAATAAAACCAGGCTACAACAAATAGACTCCACTGGTCTTTACTTTAAGTCACTGCTTGTTTTTTGTGCTAAAGAACCGAACAGCACAAACAACCAAACTGTAATGTGTGAAGTTGACTAATGAGCTCCTTCACACAAGGCAGGGAGCAAATGACACAAGTGTTGATTCTAAAGGATTCCTTTCCTGACCGTGTTCATTGGAGCAATCCGGGGAAATGCATTGGAGGTAAAACATTTCCAGCAGGTACAGCACACACAATATTGTCATGAATGCGACTTTACAGAAGCATGACAATGAGGGCTAAATGCTCCCGTTTCGTTTTGCAATTTATTTAATACCCTGCAATATTCAAAGTAACCAAATTATTTAAGTGCATTTCCACTTTTTTTTCAGCGAAATTGGAATCACACCTATTCTATATTTGTTACACATTACCATTTGCCTAACATAAGCTAAAAAAATATTTAAAAACGCTTCTTGCACCTTAAATTGCTTTTACTTGGGTTAGGGTTTTAAGGGTTAACATTTCTACTTCCTTTTTTTTCTTTGTAATGTTGAGACGTTGTGAGGTGGTTTGTCCATTGTGTGCTAAGTGAGTGAGAGAAACACAACACTCAAATTTCAAGAAGACTTTCCATTATCACCATGAAGGTGCTGAGAAAAATCTGGAATCGGCCATCTTGCCTGCTACCAAACATTTAAAAAGGTAAGAAATATATATCTATATAGATATATATTTAAATTATTTTTTTTTATGCTGTGTGAAAAGGAACACAAACATATAGTGGGGGTTTTCTCAAGTTAGCCTGTCAAAGTGGAAATACATTTTAATTCCCAAAGAAACAAAAAACGTGTTATATAATCTTTGAGCCCACAAATCTGTCCTAAAAGAATAGATACTTACTTGTGTAAAGAAGGCAAGCGTGCAAAGAAAAAAATTATATAACTACACTTCAAATAAGAGTATATTTCGAAATGGATTATAAAACGAATGGGTTCTCCTCTGATTTAAAACCAAAGTAACCTCTTAGGGTACTATCACCACAAACATACAGACTGTAAAACTTTCAACTTTAAATGTAACATTACAAACACTGTTTTTGCTATAGGTCCTGGATTGAAGGAGAATGCCTACTAGCTAGATATTCTAGTAGTGTTTCAAAAATGAAGATTCCATTCCATGGAAAATGAGTTCATCATGAAGACAACAGACCTTAAATTTGGTTTAAAGGTTCATCTATGTGCCATTACTTGTCCTAAGGAATTCTTCTAAAATAATTCTAAAATTCTTCTAAAATAATTAAAAATGTGCATGCTTAATATGACTGAAAAGTACTCTAATTTTACCAACCTTTAGTCTCTAATAGTTGCCATGATTTAATAAAGATGGAATAAATTAGTTTATCCTGCTTAGGGATTACTCTACATAATTGTTTACTTTTGATACAATTTTCAGCCTGCTCAGAAAACATTCACATTCAAGCTGCATTCTGCCAGCATCTGCTATTGAAGTCTAGTTCCAATTTACAATAAACAGCTTTTCCAGACCAGAACGCTTGAAATTCAGTCCCTCTTGACTGCTTTTCCTATTCACTCTCCCTGCACAGTATTTCAAGGAGAAAAAATGTTCTGCCAATTATTACACATGTGGAAAAAATGCATGTATAAGCTAAAATATACTCTGCAGAAAGTGTCCGCTTTCGGCACATGGCACAGCAGGATTTTATGGGCCACTGACGAGGTCAGAGTATGCAAGCTATTCAGTTTTTTTTTCTTCAATTCTCTCCCTAAATGTTGTACCTCAAATCTGAAATGAGTAGCGGGTGTCCATACCTAATCTCGTTAGTCTGTCCAAAATTATTATAATGCAAGCTATTAATACTTTTTGGTTAACTCCTGTTTGTTAAGATTTCCAAGACGTTGATCATTTACCAGTCTGCACAGCATGTGGTTAAAATAACAGTACAAATAAAACACAATGTGAAGGACCAGAATGATGCACTTACCATTGAGGTCTGTCTGTTTGGTACAAGTCCAGCTGTTCCATAGTTGGATGTCAGGCTTACAATAGGACCATTGTGTGCTGCGCCCAGTAAGCTGTGGATATCAGCGGGTATGCTTGTGGAAGGTCCTACTGCATGGCTCCGCAGTACATTTATAGCATCATCAAGCCTATCCAAACGATCTTCCATACGAGACTGCTGTAAAGAAACCATATCATATTTATTTTACGGTCTTAAGTCCTAAATCTTTATCAAGGTTTGAAGTAGGTTATGCTACAACTCATATCTCTAAACAACAACAGTTTTAATTCAACAGATGGAATGTCAAAGTTCCAGTAATTAAAGTGTGGCAGAATAAGCTATTTTCAAGTTTTCTTTTTTAAATAAAAGATCAGCCTGATGTAAATCACACAACCAGAGTAAGCTAACTGCAATGCAGTGCTACACAACGATCGTGCTTTACTGTTCTTCATTCTCATAACGCATTTCTAGAAGTCAGTCAACTCAATAAAAACAGGGCACACATACCATGTGCCAGATATATTATCTAAACAGTTGGTAATTGAGAGACCGGATAAATACACTGAGCCACTGTGCATCCCTTCTAGCTGCTACTCTGTACATCTTTAAAAAGGGACAATCCCCCTCTGAAACATACATAACTTTTTGTAAATTGGAGCCAGTAAAGCAACGCAGCCGTGATCACTGGATTGCTGTGGCAACGCTCTGGCTCCTCATTTTCTGCCTCCCATCCCTGTCCGTAGCTCAGTACCATTAAGGAATACAATCCCTCTGCTGTGCTGGCTGATGGGACTTGTAGTTTCTCTATTTACAGATGTTATCAAAGGAAATATGGTTAAGCTGTGCAAGCAGAACCATGCACAGCTGCAATATTTTCAAACGGCAGCAGAAGCTTTCGGAGAAAAGAATCTTGCAGTTCAGGTATTTGCGGGGGACATGATGTCACCGTGTTTTTCGTGTTATACCTTGGATATGCTATAAAACTAATTTGGCCTTTAAATATAATAAAATATAATAGGTAAACAGTAAAAATTTGAAAGTCATGCTAAAATTTACTTCAACGTAAGCACTGCAATATTAACTCAAAATATGCGTTCACTGAAAACACACTATAGATTCCCGTTAACAGAGTGAAGGCAACAGACACAGGAAACAAACCACTTCCACTGTGTGCAGGCAACAGGTGAACTCTATATTCAGAAACATTTGGAAAAAGTATTTTTTGTAGCTAGAGCTCTAATTAACTGCTCATAAAGGTGCCCATACACCTTACAATTATCTGCAGATTTTCTGTGGTCAGATGGAAAAAGTGCTACAGATTGGCCCAGGTGGAGATTACTCCATCCACACAGTTTAGAGTAGATGGAGGAAAATGTTGCACCTTTTCCATCTGACCACAGAAAATCTGCAGATAATTGTAAGGTGTATGGCCAGCTTTAAGGTGCCCAAACACCTTACGATAATCGTGGGCAATCCCGCGAGCATACGATTATCGTAAGGTGTGTGGGAGCCGTGCAACCTCTGCTACTGTAAGGTCACACGACTTTTATTTTAGGAACATGTTCGAAAACCAGCCGAACATCGTACGATGTTTGGCTGGTTTGTGGCATGTTCGCAAAAGATAAAAGCCGCACGGGCCGGTGTGCGCAAGCGCATACTGCCCGTTCAGCATTGCGGTCATCGGAAGCCCGCACCTCAGTGGGGCGGGCTTGCGATGATCGCAAGTACGATCTGCCTGTCCAAGATAGGCAGATTGTACGTTTTTTTTTCATTACTGTACAACTCTCGCAAGACAAAAGTCTTGCGATGGTTGTAAGGTGTGTGCCCAGCATTAGACAAGTGGGGTAGCCAAATTAAGGTGCCCATACACTTTACAACCCTCGCAAGACATTTGTCTTGCGAGAGTTGTACAGTAATGAAAAAAAAACGTACGATCTGCCCATCTTGGACAGGCAGATCGTACTTGCGATCATCGCAAGCCCGCCCCACTGAGGGGCGGGCTTCCGAAGACTGCAATGCTAAACGGGCAGTGTGTGCGCACACCGGCCCGTTCGGCAGTCATCTCTCGATCATGTTAAAAACCAGCTGAAAATCGTACGCTTCTCGGCTGGTTTTCCAACATGCTTGAAATACAAAAGTCGTGCGACCGTACATTAGAAACGATCACCTGCCTTCCATACACTGCACGACTATGGTACGATCGCGGGATTTCCCGCGATTCTCGTACGAGAATCGTGCAGTGTATGGGCACCTTTAAATGTTCAGAAAGAGATTTTTCTTTTGCTAATGTACTAATATATGATGACTTAAGCTGTCCATACACCTGACGATTATTGCACGATAATCGCGGGTGATTCTGCATTCGAAATATAATCGGCAGGTGAATGGGCAGCGTATGACCGCATTTACTATACAACTGTCCATGGCCCTGTAGCACACCTTACCGGAATTCCCATAGGCAAAAGTGGGTGCTCGCAATGACTGCAGATGGCGCCGCATTAAGCAGAGATTGTTGTGAAAATATGTCACCAGCACTCCAGAATGACAAACACGTCAATTTTAGTGAATCTCCATTTTTTTATTTGTAAGAGGTCACTCAAAGTAGAGTCAAGCGCTTTCGGGGCCGTGCAGGGCCTCCTTCATCAGGCTTAAAGTGAACGTTTACTTTAAGCCTGATGAAGGGGACCCTGCGCGGCCCCGAAAGCGATTGACTCTACTCTGAGTGACCTCTTACATTTAAAAAAAAGGAGACTCACTAAAATTGACGTCTATGTCATTCTGGAGTGCTGGTGACATATCTTCACAACAATCCCCGCATTTACTATACAGTCGCACGACTTTCGTATTACAAGCACGCTAGAAAACCCGCTGAAAATCGTACGATTTTTGGCGGGTTGGTAGCGCGATCGCAAGACGAAAGCCGCACGGGCCGAGGTGCACAAGCGCACACTGCCCGCTCACCATTGCAATAATCTGTAAGCCCTCCCCTCAGCGGGGAGGACTTGCGATGATCGCAAGTACGATCTGCCTGTCCAAGATGGGCAGGTCATACGAACTTTTAATCACCTTACAACCATCGCACAACGAAAGTCGTGCGATGGTTGTAAGGTGTATGGCCACCTTTAGAGGGATGATTGTTCAATTGTCTTTTTCCTCCATAACCTTCTGATGTTTAACCCCTTAGTGACCGTGGCATTTTTTTCTCGTTTTTTTGAACCCATGTTATAATCCACATTTTAGGCCGGAAAATTACTTCAAACCCCCAAACATTATATATTTTCTGAAAAGCCAAGACCCTGCAGAATGGTGGCAGTTGCAAATGTTTATGTTGCATATTATTAGCACAACGTATTATCAAAGGGGTTAACAGGTTAAAGGGGTTAACAGGGTTAAAATTTGCCCAAACTTTGGAGATGCCCGCAGATGAGCAAACACAACTTAAAATACTTCAGTTGCATGTGGTCTGATACTCAACAGATATGGCTATCTAAAAACAAAACAAAATGAAAGACAGTATCTTAATACAGATAAAGCCATCCTTTTCTTTTTAGTTTCAAAATTGTAATTCAATATTGAATAAATTACTTCTTGAGCTCAGCTTTTCTAATTCTCATAAGAATTTAAGGCTTGTGTTAACAAAATAGCACAATAGCTCTCTGAAATCTGATTACTGTAATATAAAAAGGTAAAAACAGAGGCATCTGTATCATACAAAGCAAGGTTTAGGGAAGGAAAATAAAAATAAAGCTGCATAAACACACACAAAAAAAAGCACCATCTAAAGAGAAATACTACTACCTCACAGACATCCTTTAAGAATGACATAGCATCTTGCAAATGCTCGTGGAGTTGCTGTTCAACCCGATTTTTCTGGCAAAGTCAAGACAGAACAAGAAGCACAGCAAAGGTTAAGATTAATTAAAGGGAAGAAGAGGAAAAGGCCGATGCGCGTGTCTGCTTGAAATGTTAGTCACGTTATGCAGGGGCCAATTGTAAACAAAAAACAAAAAAAAAACAGGAAGTGACAAGAAATTCTTTTATCTAGGATTATATATCCCGCTTGCCTTGAGTAGCCTATCAAACCGTAACCATAAACGCTTTTTGAGATATTTCATCTTTTTCAGTCAGATTGGGTCATTTTGGAAGTATATGATATATTTATACAATAATAAAAAAAACAGTTCAAGAAAAATGTTCAAGTCATGAGTATTCAGTGTGGCTAACTAAATAGACACTAACATTTTAATTATATTACAAGGGCTATTTAGTGGCGTTCTGAAGTGGAAGGGGTCGAGAGAACATACATTCTAAAACAAAGCTAAAAATGTGTGAAAGCAAACATAGGTGACAGAGAGGAGTGAAACGTCTAATATAGCCACATATGGCTGGGCTGGGCAAGCAGTGGTGGCGATAACTGCACTTCATTGAAGTTAAGCAAAGCAGTTTTCTTTAATGTGGCAAGTCAGATGAAAATCAGTTTGAAGCTTTAGGTTCATCAAAACAACTTGCATCATTTCATGAACTCTACCCCTTTCACTACACATTAGTGCTGAAAATGAGATTTGGGTTTATAGAAGGATACTGGTCTCCCTTAACAGTCATTTAGCAGCAGCTGTCTCTTAAACAGAGGCCTGACGACTAGGGAACAGATGGTGACAGACACACCCTATATGTTTTATATTGTTCATTCAAACCAGACCACTTGCTAGCAAAGAATTTATCAGTAACATCATACGGGTGACTTCCTAAAGAAACAGACAGCTATGAAAAATTTAAGAACTTTAAAAGCACGCTTTCCATTAAACAACAATACAAACCCACTTACCAGGGAGTGGAGGGAATTTTCATAGCTTGGAGATGACGGTGTTTGCCCTCCTGGTCTAGACCACTGGTTGGCACCTATAAAGAATAGGATATAATTTTAAAAAATGCCTAAAGCTATTCATTTAAAAATACATGGACTATTTAAAAGATGTGCTTTGCATGATTCTGTTTAAAAAAAAAAGCACATTTAAACTGGTCCTGTTAGTTAGTACTGTATTTTCTAAATCACCAATAATAAATGTGTAAGACTGAAGAAAGATCCTTACGAACACTGACCAGCAAAGCAAGGAAAACAACAACAAGCAATAAACAGGCATGCAAAGGGCTTGTTTTTATATAATGAAACCTTAGAATATCTCTAAAGTTAATGAGTGACCATTCCTTTCAGTGCATAGTCTGCAGAAAATTATATGGATGGAATACGAATTCTCAGGGCCTATATCCAAAGGTCTATTTTATATGGGCAGCCTATGCCTGACAGCATTGACTAAAATTTTTTTTTTGTTTGTTTCATAAGCACTGAGAATAATCGCTCTAGTCTGAACAATCAAGCACAGGTTTTATTAAATACATTGTAATATATTTGTGTACAAGTCCACTGACTGATATGAAAAAATATTAATGGCCTATAATGGGACCAAAGGAAAAAAACAAAACAACTCCCATTCAGGAGTTCAATGCTGTCCCCTCCCCGTGAAGAACAAGACATAAATGATTTATTTGCTCACGAGTCACTTTCCATATAACCTCACTCACTGAATAATGCAGCAACAACATTAATAAATTATGGATATGCCACTGAACACCAGAAAAGAACATCAAAGAAAAGGCCTATGGGTATGTTTCTTCAATCACAACTGTGTCTGGGAAGGTAGGGATACGTTTATTACAAATTCGTTGTCGGTTATTCCACAAATGAATATCGTTTCAAATGAAAGCAATGCACAAAGACAAAACTGCGGTGAGCGGCATTTAGAGAAAAGGCAACATGTCAGATTGCACAAATGCTGGGTGGTTACAGTTTAAGAATTAAGTATCTGTGCTAGAAAGATGGTTACATATTTCCACAGATTAAGTCTGTCTTCTTTCACTAGATGCTCAAAAGAGAATCCATCCATTCAATGTTAACTGGTCGAAGGGCAGCTACCATCTTCCTCATTAGATTTGTTGATTCAGAAGCTTAGTTTGGCAGATTGTTTTAGCAGCTGCTGCTACTCCACTGCACAAGTTCTAATTTACCACATCAGGTGAATCTTCCCAATCAATCAATTAATCAATAAATAAATCATTCTGTGGACTAACAAACAAAAGTCCATATGTTCTTCAAGTTTCACCCTCAACATTTTAAAGGGTCAAAAGCTTTTTTTCCCCCCTCTTTACATAAAATCAGTGAACAGTGAGCGGACATTTTTCTATTTATTGTTTGAAATGCCTTTTCCTGGGAACCCATCCCTGCACTTCCTGGATTCTCACCTAGGCAAGAATTACATATTTAGTTATTCACAAACTCCTAAAATAGCACTTCACGCATTGCAGGGGGCTTATGTGCCATGACGTGTCATCAGGGGGCTGGCTGAAAGAACCCAAAAGAGACAGCCGACCCCTGATGACATCAGAAAAGATGATGACTGTGTGGGACTGGGTATGCAGCAGTGGAGTGGTGGATCCCTACACCGCTGGATTCTTTGGCTGTGTTTCGGTATATTTTTTGTGGAAAGTTTAAATGGGGGGAGGGCGCTTTGAAGTCCCTCTTTAATCTAACATACTGTAAGTGAAATCGTTCCAAGTCCTCAGAGTTGAGATTTGCTCCCTTCTTTTAAACATAGTGCCAAGGTAATCAAAGCAGTTTTAAAAGACAACATTTTACTTTTGATACAGATACTAACAATGGCTCAATGTTGTTGCCAATAACTGTGCAGTATTTATTTCTGCTACAAAGAAGAAGAAAAAAATCATTAACCATTTTCTGCACTCGCACTGCTTTTTAAAATATCCACCAGTTAATTTGATTTTATATTACCACAAAACAGTCTGGGAACTGGAAGGTGGGAAGACACCACCTTGGTGGAAAAAAACATCATTATTCTTAACCAGGTTAAACTAAAAATATTGGGGAACAAATGCAGGGAATCCTGTACAATAATAGCAGCTCAGCTGTATCTTTCAAACATTATGTGCATAAGTGCTAAAAATGCATACAATGCAAATAAAGCTTGAAAGACTGACAAACATGTTCTGGTATATTTACTCTACACCATAAAAAAATTCCACTAAGACTAAAAAGAAAAATCATATTTACTATAAAGGCTACCCAGGCAATTTACAAAAAGAAGGAGGTTTATCATTTTAGGCCACACTAGCTGTGATGCATCAAATCTCAACAATAAATTAAAAAAAAACAAAAAAACGTAAACATCAAATGTACTTTATTGTTGTTATGCTAAAACGGGTAGCAGTACAAATTTCCAGAACATACCTTGCTGTTAAAAATCACAAAGCATTACTATTTTATCATGTTGAATTTTACAACCACTTCGTTAACAGAAAAAAAAAAAAAAATCACAGGACTTTTAATGTTGGTCTGAGCAGAGCAGCTGTTCACATTTTACTAGACAGCTGAAGTGGAAGTGCGGGAGTAGACTGTCACCCACAGTTCATTATTCATACATCAGATAACCATCATACTTATAACTATTTAGCACAGCTTCCAAAGTTATTAATAATTAAAGAAACACCGCTTTAACCAGCCTGCAATAACATGCAAAAAGGAAAGAGCTAAATGTAGGCTAAATAAAAGGAAAATAGAAAAAAAGGAAAACTGGCCGTACACTAACAGATTATTTTTTCATCCAGCCTGCACAAATAAGCTACATATGCTATATATTATGTTACTAGTTAAGGTACTTGAATGCTTTTTATGATTTAACTCCTGAGTTTAGTGTCATTAAGTCTAAGGGTAGAGAAATAAGCTTTAATACTTATCTTCTTATTCCTTACTCTGGCAAACTTCCACCACGCTGTGTGACCTGCCCCCAGAAGACTCTTCTCTTCAGCACCAAGGCAGGCAGTTGCACTCTGACATCACATACAATGCAGGACCAACAGCATTGTACCTGAGGATGCAGAGGGCCCACTCACAACCCAAAGCCCCAGATGCTTGCCTATTCAAAAATAAGCTGGAAGTAGCACATAGATGGCTTTGCTGCCATCATGACCTAATATGCTTCTTCTACCTTTATCTAACCAATGCACTGATCTGATACATTTAAAACCTTCCAATTATTTTAAAGAAATTAAGGCGTTTACATACATTATTATTTACAAAGTGTCAGATTTCCGATATGCACGTTTTAATAGGCCTTTTAGTAAGCTTCAGCAATACTTGAAACTTATTGAGAGCTTGCGGAAACCTAATGTCAAGCTTGTTTAAAGGGACCATTGCATTAAAATATATCTGCAACATCCCAAAACTGCAGCTGAAGGTTACTTAAAGAAACCTCAAATTGTGAGAAAGGTTTTGCAAATGTGTACAGTCTGCTCTTTAGCAAGCTGAACCTTGTGCGTACAAGGCCTGAAAAAATAACCACAGCTACTGGTTGACTCAAATAAAACTCCATTGACCTCTGTCCAGATTCACACATCAGTGGTACATTCCCACATCGGTTTATGTGCATTGCGGTACGGCTGTCAATGCACACCCTTTTTTCTTTCCAACGCAGCCCACCAAATTGCACATCAGTGTGCCCTGGTGTGTTGGTGTCCTCGCTGTTTTGGCACAGTGGGGATGGGCACTGAGGTGCAAATGAACATAAATGATGCCATAAATGGTGATACAGGGATTTGTAGATTTCCATGGAGTGCAAGTGTGACATCACCACACCTGGAAGTCCACTGACACTTCCTCCTGTACCTGTAAAGTCCATATCTTGCTATGGACAGGGGCTGCAGGAGCCAAAGCATTGCACCCGCAAACCACTAATCACATTTGCAATGCTTTACAGACTCCAATGCAAAAAAATAAATAAATAATGCACATTTTTTTTATGAATGTGATAGCATTTTTTTTTTTAAAAGCGCCCTTAAATGAGAAGAAAGACAAAACTCCACCTGGCAAAGGAGATGGTGAGCCAACTGGTGTTGAAGGATTTGATGGGAAACTACTGCTGGTGTGGTCTGGAGAATAAATCTATAAGAAACAAAAGGAAAGACAGTGAATAAAGATTTACAATAACCATGTGAAATGGATCAGCTTAACACAGAACCAGAACTTGTTTCAGAGAGTCAGTGTCAGTATTGCTGGCTGATTGTTTGTTACCGGCCATGAACAAGCTTGCTGCATTTAGAAAATGGGTACAGTTCAGATACACGGCTATATGTAGAGAACACCTTTAATGTGCTAAAGAGTGGGCAACTCTGTCTTTACAATATTTTGAGATTATAGTTCTTTGCGCAATGCTGGTGCTGTCGTCATACAGAGGTGCTTACCTTGCCTGAGGTCAGCCAATTCCCATTGTGTCAATGAAACAAAAGCTCAGCTAAGCTTCCTGCATTTGAAATAGAAGGCAATATTTTCCCCTCCCAAGAGCCAAAATGTTGGCGACAGGCCAAACACACTTGAATAGAAGAGTTCATTATCCTTAAAGTTACCAGCACCGTGCGCAAATTGCTTACGAGATATGATGGGAAATGCATAGACCCTGCTTGCAAAAAATACAAAATACATACACACTCCAAGAAGAAAATGTGATACAATAACTATTATAAAGAACGGCCCTAGTCAGTTGTGTAAAAGTCATAAAAGCAACACCAACTAGAAGCCTACAGTTACTTTTTTTGTGGAAGTCTATAGTGCTATTTTACCATTTGAATCAAATCTGAATTCAATATTCAAGCTCATGAACTGCTCAGCTAAAATAACCAATATGAATAATTCTTAAACCTTTTTCGAGGTCTAAATGGTAACATGACTAATTCTCCAACAACAAATAAGACTCCAACTCCCATCAGTCATGGTCCATTCCTGTCAGCAGGGTGCCAATATGACCACATCTAATGAAAAGGGATGGAGACAAAAGCTACACAATGGAAAGCCCACAGAGCCAGACCATAAAGCTGTTAGTCCAATTTTTTAAACACTGCAGTGTACATTTCAGTTATCCCTTGTTATGTTAATGTTATGGAGTCTCAAAGCTACAAAGAGACGTAATTCATGAATTGAATTTTAAAGTCAACTTCCCTGAATTCGTATTTCCTTTGTGCTCAAAACCACTGGCCACTTAACTAGACAGACTGCACAGCGTTTCATCATGCTCTGAATCTAAGTTACTGCAAAGATGTTTGCTATAATCAACAAAGTTAAATAGCATGCCTATTTGATCTCCTCAGAATTAAAGCCTGGATGTTTTGATCTGGCATTAGATAATAAAATAAAGCAGATGTTCCTTGCCTTCATATAACTCTCAGCGGGCACAATCTTAAAGGGTTATTATTTGGCAAACGTTCAAGGAAACACATCTGAAATGGCACAAATACCAAGATTTTCTTTCCTTTCCATCTACACTAGTTCATTATCCAAACTAATGCATAATCCACAGGGCTTTGGGAACTTTGTGTAAATACTTTCATGTACAATTTTCTTTCTTGGCTACCCTGAGATTAAGACCACAATTATCCAGGCTTAAACCTAAAATAAAAGAACCTTTGCAAATGTATTATCTGGCCTTACATGTTTAATCACATAGCATTCTGTATGCTCTTTAATACCTAAACTGAAGAACAAATGCTTCATCTTCTGATCTTTTACACATGAAAGGCCTTTAGCAAATTTGTGATCAGCAGCAAAACGAGTATCACATGTAATGTGCCTTGGGATCTTAAAAATTCAATTTAGAGGTATTTTGTATTAATATTTAGAAGATTGTGTTTTGGCAAAGGAACTGGCATGACTCTATTGGTGCAAGATGTCAACAATGTATACTCAATAACAATGATAACCTAATACAAGTTTAAAAAAGTAAGCAGTGGTCAAAAAGTTAAAAAATCCTGAAGTGAAATGCTAAGATAAAATGGGGGATCTGAAGTGTGCAGACTATGGCATGCATTCATAGAGCAGATGGAATGCATCTCCATTGGAAATGACAGCGGTGATTTATGGAATGACCTGGCTGCTCCCTGCCAAGCAGCAACACAGGATGACAGAATCAAGTCGCCATGACAACCATAGCCCACCCAGCACAAAGATTAAACATCTATGCCTTGGCTTTATTACCCGGAAATTGGGAGTGTTTTTAAAACCACAAGTGAGCTGGGGGAGGGACACAAAAAAAAAAACACACTTTAGACACAATTTATAAAAAACAGGATACAAGGGACATTTTTAAAAAAAAAATTAGATATAAAAAGGGACAACTATCATACATACACAAATTACACACTCGTGTACCTCAACTGCATTAAAAGAACAAAAACTTTCCAAAGGGCTGGAAATATTTTATTTTCAAACTTGTAACTGACGTGTTTAATTGCATGAAACAAAAAGTACTTTTCAAGATGCTTATCAAAGCTTTCATAAAATGTGTGCATCACACACACAATGGGTATCAATACATCCTGGTATTAGTGTGCGCTGGAAACATTGAGTGAGCATTATGTTTAACAACTCCCAGCTTGCATTCCATGTGAAAAGTGATACTCTCAGGACAGGCAGCTGTTTCCTTTAGAAGGTCATGCATCATTTAATCAACGGAGAAAACACACCAGTGCTGCACAGAAACTTTTAAAAGACTGGATTGTGGTAAAAAGTCATCTCTAAATGGCTTGGGATATCAGTAACTAAGTATACAATTAACCCACATGGTTTATGAAGAAATGTTGTAACACTAACATTGAAGTAAACAATATATAATTTCCATTTGTGACCACACTTAAGATACAAATACTTACAGATGCCAAAGCTTTTCCAAGTGCATCTCCAGTCTGTGAGCTACCAGCTGCGTTGCTTCTACTTCCTGTAGCTAACAAAAACAAAAAATTACAAATACCATTTCTAACATATACAAATTCCGCTTTATATAAGCCAGATATTTTAAATACTTTACACCAGAGTATTCTTTTTTTTAAACTGCTTACAAACCGAGATAAAAACCGAATCTTGGGGTTGCGGAAACCCTGTAGATTACTTACCCATGAGATTGTCTGATCCATTGACTGGTGGTGTGTGAGAAGATGCCACATAAGATGAGCTGGTGGTGCCACCTCGATGGAAGCTGGACATTGGAGGAAGACTGGCATTTATGTCTGTTGGAGAAACCGGATGTGGTGGATAGTTCTGAAAAAGATACACAGTATTGGATAGCATTATTGTCGCATATTACTTCACACACACACTCTAGTATTACTAATGGCGATTGTTGAGAAAATGTAATATATTTAGTGATTAAGTTACATTTCCATATTCATTTTAAGGGCCTCAAATAGTCAGTACTAAAAAGAAACTCAGTGTAGCACATACAGAAACCAGATTCAACCTGTAGTATTTGAAAGCAGGTATGAATAGGGATTGCAAGGCCCACAGAGACATTGACTAAAATATAAACGGGATCTTCAGCGTCAGAGTGGCACCAACTGAACCATCACATTCTCAAACAATTCATCCCCACACAGCTACCTCCTCATGTATCATTTCCCCCTCCTCTTTCAGATTGTAAGTCCTTAGGGGCAGGGCCCTCCTTACCATCCTGTCTTGAATTGTATTGTAATGTCTTCCTTACATTGTAAAGCGCTGCGCAAACTGTTGGCGCTATATAAATACTATGTAATAATAATAACTGGTAAGGGGAAACAGAAGTCCCATAATGTAAATGACATCCTTTAGTACTGGAGGTATATTACAGCTTATTGGTAATAGAGGTTTCCATGTTTAAGACTTTTCATAAACTCAGATTGAATTTTGCCTGTCTTATAACATTAGGTTTTATTATACAGCTTTTTAATGTGTTTTGTTAGAAGGTCAGCCAACCTTTATATAAGTTATAAGGTTAGTGGCTGTTTGCTAGGTGGAACCTAGTAGAAGGAGTCACTCTAAGCTTTGTACAGCTTTAGAGCATTTCATCGGCAATATCACCCTGTCTTAGTTGCTACCTTTTCCCCAACCATTTAGGAGTTTTAGGTGTTCCCACCTCTTCTATTATATTCACCACTATATAAAGTAAATAAGCGATACAAGAGAGCGAATTGACCTGGTAATGGTTGTGTCCAGTATGCAAGTCTCTGAACTGCAATGTGGACATCTCTGACGGAGCCCATGAGAGAAGTCCCTAAAAAAGCAACCAATATAAGCATCAATGGCTACACTGGCTGCGCAAAAGCATGATAGTAATGATTGATTCCTCACGAGAAACTGCCAAAATCATAAAAAAGATTGTCAAATGTTTTGGAAAATTTTATTATGACAAAAAGCCGATCTTTCCATTTTCAGGCGTGTGCACTGGTCTGCCCTGTGTTGGTAAAAATAGTACAGGTGCATTTTTTGATGCGCAACACATTTTTTGCCCCATAGGCTTTAAGCAGCACATGAAAAACACAAGTAACATTCATTTTTGTGCATTTTAGTGCATGGCAACGAATCCCACCCCTTACTTTCGTTGTCCAAAAAAAATGCAGAATGCATGAAAACATGCATCAACAATTCAAAACACACTAATGCAGGAATAGGCAAATGCAAAGGTGTGAAACTAAATTTTCAGAAGCACTAGGTTGCCAGAGGAAGGCAACCCTGGCACTCCAGCTGTAGTGAAACTACAAATCCCATCATGTCTCTGCCTCTAGGCGTCATGTCTGTGGCAGTCAGAGTCTTGCAATGCCTCGTGGGACTTGTAGCTCCAAGAGCTGAAGGTTGTTTACCCCTGGTCTAAACAAGTCAATATTTTCCATCTCGTGATTGTGACAATACAAATTGCATTATCCCAGAACGGTTTGGTATTATAATAATAAAACTATGCTCTTCTCTCTTACCAAACGGTCATGTAGGCTGCCATAGTTATTTGACTGTGACATGTGAGATGATGAACTGCCCATCATTCCACCATAGCCCGGTTGACCAATTCCATTTGAGGAATTCCACAGCTCTGATGAGTTATGACTGCCATCTACAAATAGAAAGAACATTTTAACATGGCAACACAACAAATATGCTTTCTCATAATATACCAGTTCAGGTATCAGTTCTTAGCCATCAATATTTCAAATGTAATTTACCTGAGGCAAGAGATGCTAGTGACAAGTGGACCAAACAGACTGATGCTTTTATGGCACAATATAGGGCATAGCAGTCAGTCAGACTGAAAATCTATATTACATTGGCCATAAACAGTCGATATGAATAAACTATTACTTATTAAAAAAAAGGTAGAGTATTCTGTTCCTTTGAGATTGCTCTGTAAACATAATGAGAACACATCGGTGCAGGCAATTTTATATAAAATCAGAATGGGGTTTGCCAAAGTATTTCTCTTATGCTATACACCGCTATTATGGCAACACAAAGAGCTACATGTGGAACAAAAGGCAACCCACTCTAGTGACATTTTACACACAAAAATGTTTACTACTAGACAATGTGGTTTATGTTTTAATGCTTCTGTACTTTGTGCATCACACTTTCATAAGCTCAATACCACTGAAAAGAGTTAAAGGGTAAATTCAGAAGGTCCCAAGAAGACTCCCTTTTTCATGGTCCGAACTCATCCCAAACCTTAATAGCCATCACACCCAAAAACTTAAAACTACAAATACAACACTGCTTGGTATCAAAACATTTCAGCATAACTCAAATGATAGGTCTGCAAATTTGTATTCACCAAAATGTGAAAATTAAATCCCATATACTAATAGTTCTGTCAATACAAAATAAAGTGAGTGATAATGTTTATGCGTTTGCAGTAATAGATGCAGGTTGCATCCATTCAGGGGGGTAAAAAGACCACACACGAGGTATAATTATAAAAACACTATCAACATAAAATCACTAACCTTGAAGAAAAAAAGTGCTAGCAAACATACTGTTGGGTGGTTTAGGGGATGGATAGTTTGGAGACTCTCTGTTGAAGTCATCAGAACTTGGAGAGGGTGCATAGACCTGAAAATAAAAAGTAATTACAATCAAAACATTTTAAATTGACAGTATGATGCACAACTGATTTTAGTATAATCTATGTGGAAACTACATAGACAAATAATATTTTAGATGACACAATCTGAAAATACTTAAAAGGGTCATTCCACCCAAAACTGATCTCAGCTTTGTTGATGCTGGGGAGGTAAACAGACTCTAATGGTGAGATATTGCTCTTGGAAGGTCTGTTGCAAAGAGAAGGAATAACAGCGATGTACCCTCAAGGTTTGTCCTATTTGTGTGGCTTGCCAATTTAGGATGTGGAAGAGTCAGTATAGGTAAAATGACTACTGAACAGTCAGCTTCTATATTTCAGATTATCTCCACTGTTACACAGGTTTGAGGTGTCAAATTGCAGGATTAAAAATTATAGCACCACACTCCGTGTACTAGTCCAGATACATCTTTATTCAATGTAGTAACCCTAGGGGACACTATAGAAATATTGAATGCATTTCAGGGGCACATTCAAATACCCCATTCATCAGGGCTTACTGAAGAAGAACATCAAGGCTGTGATAGGTTGAAATTGCATATGGTTTTGACCAGTGAGTGAGAATTTTTATTTTGGAGCTTGGATAATGCAAATGGAGGTGTAAGAAAACACAAAAGGTGGGCAGGAAAAACTAAAACTTCCAAGAGGACAAAAGAGCAGTAAATTAGGCAAAATATCTAATTGTTACGAGTATTCATGGCATATAAAGAAACTAGGGCCCACAATGCTCCACCTACAGCAAAAATAACTCTGGGCAGACGGACACAGTGTGTTCCGGCCCGATTTTGGCCAGAATGCACTGGATTGCATTGCGGCCAGCTCACTTTGTTGTGGGGCGGAAGAGGGAGTGGCGGTGCATTGAAGTGAATGGCACCATAGTCACATCAATGCCTGCGTTCTGGTCCGGTCAGAAAAAATAGTGCTCGCAGCATCTTTTCTGACTGGACCACAGGCATTGATGCGCCTTGCGTTGCCGTGCGGCCGATCGCATTGTGGCCAGAGGGAGTGGCTACAGTGCCAATTGGTTCAATGGGCCCCGCAGCCCCTCCTGCCCCACAACAAGGCGAGCCAGCTGCAATGCGGTCCAGTGTGTTCCATCCAGAATCGGGCCGGATCGCACTGTCTGGTGTGAACGAGCCCTAAAGTAACTATAGGAAGCTGGATGCAAACAGAGTTCCATTTTGGTGGACTTGATCATGACAGATTGGAGGCAATCAGACGTAAACACACATGTCCGCTGACATCAGACTCCCCATTAGCCATAGCACGAATGTCACAAAAGTATCCTAAACTAGAAAGTTACAAATATCTGAATTATTCAGAAAAATAGCTGCAAAACTAAAACATGCCATGCTACAAAACAAAAATCGAAGAGTGTAAGAACACTTACAAGCCTTTGTCCCTACATATCGCTCATGATTACCACGAGGTAATATCAGTAAAGACACTGCTTTTGAAACAATGTTAACCACAAAATGACTGGACTCAAATGTGTATCACTAGCATCAGACAAGCCAGAATACTATAAACAAAATAGGATCAGACAGGGGAGGGGAGGGGGGGGGGGAATCCCTGCAGGGAGCTGTGAGTGACAGTCACGGCTCTCTGCACGTATAGATCGAGAAGTGAGTGACCGACGGTATGTGTCCGCTCACTTCCCGATCTACTGAGCCGACCTGTGGCAGTTTCATTGTCACAGGACAGCTCAGATTATGAGGCCGAGTGAAAAATTTACAGTACAATACACAATCTGAATGTCAGCTTGAAACATTTAGCTTAATAAAAAAAAAACAAAAAAAAAAAACAAACACATTCTATGTATACAGTCATGTGAAAAAGAAAGTACACCCTTTTTGAATTCTATGGTTTTATGCATCATGACATAAAAAAAAAAAACATCTGGTCCTCAGCAGGTCTTAAAATAGGTAAATTACAACCTCAGATGAACAACATATGACATTACACGATGCAATTATTTATTTTGCAAACAAAGCCTAAAATGCTATTGGTGGGGTGAGAGATCTCAAAAGATTTTCTTCATACAACCTACGTAATAGATTGTAAAAAGAATACTATATGAACTCTTGTGAATCAGACAGATGCTATTTTAAAAAAAAACAACAGTAGTTAGTGAGCTATGGGCCAATTTTACTGTACATCAAAATAAGTACTGTACAAAAAATAAAGTAAACTTTATGAAGCTGCACTCCTGCCAGCCATAATATTTCACATCAAAGAGTAGGGGCAGAAAATGTAAGTGATGTGGTAGTGGAAATCTCATTGAGTCCAGATGTGAAGAACTACATGGCCAACTCAGAGAAGGAAAGAAAATGCAGCTGCAATGCCAGTAAATGAAAAACATATGTCTGTCATCAGTTCACCTGTAAATAAATACCAAAGTTTACCATTTAAGCAAAAGTATGACGCTCCCCATGTCTGTACAATCTGCAACACATGGTGGATGTACTGCTTAGGCCCCATTCACATCTGAGCATTTTGTAACTTCAATGCCTAAGTGCTATAGTGCTATAGTGCTCAACAGGAAAAATCTCATTGTTTTCAATGCTCCGTTAACATCTAACGTTAGTGTTCTGTCACTTGTAGAAAAACACCCGAGTTTGAAAAAGTACACAAGCTTCTCTTGGAGCAGAGCGAAGCATGTTGGCCCCAATAGAAATTAATGTTAAAAACACCCAAAGATGCAAAGCTGAATGGGGCCTAAGAGAATGTCTATGATAAACCTGCACCTCCCACTGATTTGTCATCAATGTTTGAGCACAGGAATAAAAAAACCCTCGTCATAGCAATGAGGAAAAAAAAAAAATACTTTCCACTAACCTTAAAGTGACACTAACTCTTCCCCCCAACCCCCCAATGCTGCTGTAAGCACTTACCTTATTTGATACCTCTGCTGAGATCATCTTCCTTCCACCTTTCCGACAGCCCCTCCAGCATTGGTGCTGGTCTCTAAACCACCGCAGACTCCTCGTGTCCCATGGTGTCTGAGCAGCGTGCGCGCTCCTGGCTGCATCCATTCACTGTCAGCCATTGTGTTTTCTCCCCATTCACTCTACTGCGCATGCACCCGCACTACACTTTTTTACAATTTTGTTTAGATCTATATACTAACAACTATGTAGTTCAAAGGCCTGCCAGATAAAACTGATTGGATAGTTTAGCTAGGTCATCATATAACATTTTGGGTAAAACTAAAGTTGATTGCACTGTCAAACTAACGTGAATGGTGACCCTAAAGCTGGCCATACACCTATAGATTATCTGCAGATTTTCTATGGTCACATTCTTCCATCTATGCCAAACTGTGTGGATGGAGGAATCTCCCACTGGGCCAAGCTTCAGTATCTTGCTAGTCGGCTACGTTGGCTCTCAAAGTACCTGAACAATGCCTGCATCCAATCAGATTGTTCAGTTATATTGACAACCAGCGGGGTCGACTAGCAAGATACTGAAGCGGGAGATTCCTCCATCCACACAGTTTAGAGTAGATGGAGCAATCTGTTGCACTTTTTACATCTGACCTCAGAAAATCTGCAGATAATCTATAGGTGTATGGCCAGCTTTGGACAAGCCAGCCTTGTAGAAAACAGGAAGAGTAGGTACGAAAATCTTTTGTGTACATATGTATTTTTCACTATTCCTAAAAGTGTAATTAATCTCAGGTTAACGTGTCCTTAAAATTTTGTTTCCAACTATTAAAGGCTTTGTAATTGTTTTAGAGCCAGAAAATTAATGTGGATAGCATGGAACATGTCTAACATCCAAAAGTTAAATATGAGAAATTAGATGATACAATTCTCACTTTGTTATAATTTAACTAATCATTGCATCTTGTCTCATTTGCAGAACACAAAAAAGGAAGGATATTTCCATACACCAACACGCTTCACAGCCTGTTTAGGACTATCATTTCCAAACATCTTTATCTTCAACCCTTTTGGCCTTTTTTCACCTGCCCTCTCCTTTTGTGCCTATGCATTCAGCAGGTACGAGGCAAACAAAAATTCCTGTACAGACTGACTTGTCGGAGCATACACTGGGCTATGAACTACTTCCAAAGCTCAAAGTGATAGCACTGGGCCAATCACAAAACATCTAGAGCTGTCACAATGGAGAGTAGGACAGAAACTTCATATTACTTTGTAATATGCTACGCAAACTTGTGCCACTAAAAACATCCTCTATAATATGAATAATGACTTTATATTATGGTTCGGGTATTACTTACTGGTCCTGGCAGCTGAATGAAGAAATGGCAGCAACAAAAAGTGAATTTATGTTTCTGGGGAGAAAAGTTTGGTGGCACTTTTACTTGTGTGCATAAGCAGCTTCAGTAAGTCGGAGCCCACTACATTTCCTGGCATGCGGACATTATGCATCATCTAGTTCTTTCTTCCCTAACCAAACTGTCCCTGGGCTGCTTCTTTTATCTACCGGATTTCATTTCTCTCAATCATAAAGGCTCAGCATTACATGTGGGCGTTACTTAGCGTGGTCTGAACATGCAAATGCAGTCTGCCAAGGAACGTCCACTCCTGCAGAATGAGACCCATCCATCATGGCATTTTGGTATTTGCATAACACCTTCCAAGAGCCAGCCCACCTCTTGTATTAGGGCTGAGTGGTCTTGAAAGGTGCGCTCTGACATTTTAATACATTTGGAGTACATGGTTACGGTCTTTAACGGGATCGGCTCATATGTTTTATCTAGATGTGTGGGAAGCAAACACCCGAGTGCTATTACTGTGGATTGTCAACCTGGCAACAACCTTAGGTGAGCCTTATGTTGGCTTGCAGTCTCTGTTTTAACTGATACACTAAGAGGTGATCTGTTTTTTTAAAATTTATAGACATTACTTTCCAGACATTGGATGAATTCTTATGTATTGTACTGTTGATTTACCATGAACTTAATACAAAAAAAGTTAAAAACAGACAAATACATATATAA